GCGAGCTCGATGGGCCGAATGGCATCCTCTCGTTTGTATAGTTCTTATGTTCTTATATGCAATATGAAAAACAGTAAAATTCCTACTTTCAATGTTTGCAGTGATGTGTTATATCCAGACATTTACAACTCACTTGCATTAGCTTTAACTTTCTAATATGCAATAAATGCATAGCTTTCTTTTGTTGGACCCATAGAGAATGGAGTGTCATGCCAAGTTTAGGAGGTGATTATTAAAAAATGCTACAGTAAAAATTCACCAAAATAAGTCTACTTACACTCTGTTATACTTACTATAAGATGGTAATGCCAGATTTTTGGGACGTTTTGAAATGAAGGAGCAGGGGCCTCTACAAATAGCTGAAAAATGCAATCCGACCCATATAGAGAATGGAGTGTTGGTGCCAAATTTAGGAGGTGATTATGAGAAAATGCTACAGTAAAAATTCACCAAAATAAGTCTACTTACACTCTGCTATACTTAGTATGAGATGGTAATGGCAGATTTTTGGGACGTTTTGAAATGAAGGAGCAGGGGCCTCTACAAATAGCTGAAAAAAGAAGCATTTAAGGTGGAACGGAAACATCCGAATAAACAGCCGCAAATAAGTAGCCAACTTCAGCCTCGTAAGCGAAAGTCCCAAACAGGCAGTCAAAACCAGGGCGAAGGTACAATAAGGGCGAGGCGAAAATCGGAAATCAAGAACAAGAACAAAAACAGTCATACACGAGCAGTCACACCAAAAACAAACCGAATGAAGAGTGAGCTAGCAGGCAAGAAGCGGCAGCCTCTTCTGTCAATGAACCGGAAACTGCTCCGAAGGCGGAGTCTAGGGAGCGGTTGACGAATGAGCCAGTGGCAGGACGTCAGTAGAACCTGTAGGCAACCTCCCGAACTTACGTCACGTAACACTCTATCTATCCATCTCATATGTTTGACACTTTGTGGAAGTCATCTTGCTGCAATATTTTCCTTATTCTGTCTGTATTATGACGAGAGGTTAGCTAAGCTGAATCTGTTTAGCCTTGAGCAAAGGAGACTAAGGGGGGACATGATCCAGGTCTATAAGATTCTAACGGGTCTGGATGCTGTTCAGCCAAATGGCTATTTCAATATTAGTTTAAATACTAGAACTCGTGGCCATAAGTGGAAATTAGCGGGACGCCTATGTTTTTTGCTGTACTGATCACCATTTGTATAACCACACAAATACCTTAAAGTATAATTTTTGCAGAAAAATCATGGTTGTGGTTACCATGGGAACAGCCATGTTTTTTTCCCCTTATAAAACCATGGTTAATTTTCTTGGATAAGTCTTTTGGCCTGGAGCGCCAAATGTAGGTGCCATATATATGCTTTATATTGTATATATTTATATTTGTTATATATAAAGTGTCATATATTCCAAATGCATTTATGAAAACTGTATGTACCTTAATGATTTGATTTGATTTGATTTGGTTCCCTTTATTGCTGTTGCAATTCACCATGTCACTAGTCACAAGTACCAGCGAAAAG